ACATTCATATCTTACACATCCTGGACTCCACTATAGACTTCACAAACATGTTTTGAGGTAAGGATCATTTAGCCACAAGACTGAGGACAGGAAAAGCATAGATTCTGGTGGAGACTCATCAAGTTGATTTGAGCAATGAATGGGGGTAGAAGACAGAGGATGCTGGGGCAAGTGGGAGAGACTCTGGTGGTAGGTTTCCAAAGGAACACTGATTTTCACAAGTGCCAAGTGGAGGCGCTCATTGATAGCAGGTGTACAGGCTGTGCTTCTACATAATTGGGGTAAGGGAGGTACCTGACCCCCAGCCTCAACCCCCAGAGGCAAATGCTCAAGCTCTGCAGTTCAGAAGTCCCATCCATCTTCCTCCAAGCCTGCAGCACCCCTCCCAAAGGGTCATTTGAGGGCTGTACATTCCCCTTGTGGTCCTGATTTGTTAACTGTAGCAGAGTGATGCAAGTGGCCAGGAGGAAGTTCTCCTTGCTGCATCATGCCTGAGGCACAGAAGCTGGCTAAAGTCACAGTCTGCTGTGGTGGAAGGGCAGCAGGGGTCTCCACATTAACAAGCACCTAGGAAGTTTGCTGTCCATTCTCCCACAGTCACATCAGAGGAAGCCAATCCAGTGGGATTCTCAAGGTAAAATCTATTACCTGACATGAGGCAGCAGAGGTTAGTCTAGGTGACCCATTGCTGCCGGTTGCCAAAGGGCACCCACTAGACAAGATGGGCTCAGTATCTTGGTGATGGCCCAGGCTTCCCTTCTGATGGCCACAGGACACAGAGCAGTGGAGACCTGCGACCTCTGGGGGCACTGTACCTGAAGCAGGGGCGGTGGGGGCAGGACCCCTGCTCTGCCGACTGCTGGGCTCTGGAGTGGAGTGGTTCTCCATCACCCTCAGTCTAGGAGACCAAAATGTTACCAGATAAACCATACTGGATCCTGAATATTTCCAGCATCCATGAACTCATGGACTCCATCCCTGTCTTCCTGGTGTTCAGCTTCTGATGAGGAGAGCCAGTTTCTAGCAAACTCCCCAAATACAAAGGTTACACCCCTCTCCCTACACATTGGATTCCAAGATAAATTTCAATCCTGAACTACACTGGGAAGTAGCACTTCTCTTGCTAGAGGAGAGGGAAAAAACACAACTTAATCCCACAGGGGTACCCCACTACACAGAAGGGAAGATGGCACAAGAAGGGAGAGTTTATACACCCCTAAAAACCAGCCTTGGCCAGTCAGCACCCAGGAGACCTCTGCCACCTAAGACCTGCTTTACTAGTCAGACTTCACTTCAATCACCTTAGACTTTTTTTTATTACCTATTTTCTCCCTCTCTTGCTTTTTGGTATAAGTTCATAGCCTAGAAAATAAATTAAAGGAAAAGAAAGTAAGAGGGAACAATCTTTTTAATCTCAAGGAAAGGAGCTTTAAATAAGCCTCCCAGGCTGCTGCCACCAGAGGCAAGAGCGAAGCCAGGGCAGCACCATCTGAGGGGTCCACCAGCACTTACCCCGGGCCTGGGTAGATCCAGGAGCCCAAGGGAAAGCTGGGATTTCACAGAATGTGAGCCCCACCTGCACCCAAAGGCTCACCAGTGCACACGCATCATCCAATCTCGGTTATTTTGCAATCATTCATGCTACCGTTGCCCCCCATCCTGCATATGAGACAATTAAGAGAAT